TAGTGAAGCTCAGTTTGTTCCACGATGCAAAGCATTTTTAATAAGACATAGTACTTCCAGTTCAGTACTACCAGTTCAGACAGGTAATATTCATAGGTAAAATTAATTCACTTAATATCTTGAAATATCCCTTACCTAGCTTAGAACTTAAATCTCAGTCATCTCATTGAAATGGTCAATATTGTAAAGCATATGTTAGATCTTTTTTCATGAAAGCTGCTTGATGAGCATTAACTGACCCAAATCTGTATGTTCATCACCTGATTCTCGATCCTTCCATATCTTTGCTGCATGTATTCTTTATTTGACTTGAACTGCAAAAGATTTGTGCTGTCTTCTACAGAAATCCCCTAAAAATGAATGTTTATATCCTCAAAATCCTTCTCAGTTCTTACTGAATTCTAAACGTTTAGATGCTTTATGTAAGCAAAATCCCTAACAAATTGAAGTATATGCTTCTAAGCCTTCCGAGAAACACTTAAATCCTGGCACTGAACAATTAATTTGAGAATTTTAGGTACTCAGTCTTATATTAATTTCTGTGAATTTATTCCTACATGGGACAAAGTATGTCAGCATGAAATACCTTAGCTTTAAACAGAAGAGCTTTCTTTTCCAAGCTGGTTATAAAAAAACCATGGAAATGCAGAAGCAAACTGTGGGATACACAGCTTCTAAAATTTCTTCATTTGGAGAATCCTGGAAGCTTTTTATTATTTTTTCGTTATTATTTCAAAATGTTCAAATATGTGAGACAATATTTCTTTGCTTTGATATATACAGAAGTTTGGCTTGGTTCCAGATCAGGACAACAATGGTGTACTAAACACATAGAAGTTCATGAGGGAGATGTGTTTTCTCAACCAGCCAGCTTGGTTAGTAATGAAAACAGCAGAATAGAGACAGGCTTACACATGGAGATAAGATAAAGAAAACAGTTAATATGTGTGAGGAGGTTTTTTGGGGGTTTTTGTTGGTTTGTTTGTTTTAAGAAGAGAATAAACTTGATTCGTTGTTCATGAAAAGTGCACTTGTAACAAACCAATCAATGAAGATTAAATGAAGAATAACAGAGTCCTGAAAAATGCAGAAGTGGAGAAGTGAACACAACAGGAAAAAAATATGAATAATTTCACCTATGTTTTCATTTCCCTTTAGAAGTTATTGACTGAACATCTACTTGGAAAGCAGAACGCAGTATCATCAAAGAGGTTTCTAAGATTGTCTCATTTCTAATTGTCTTTTTTTTTTTTAGAAGTGGAACTGAGCCTGTCACTTGTAACTGAGTTTTAAGAGAACTTTAGGTGTCTACCGTTGTTATTTTTGATTTTCAAGTGATAAACCATGTGTGTGCTCACAAAGTGAGAGAATATAAACAATGCCTAACGCTTGAAACTGAAGTAAGTTTTTCTTTGCAGAATTCAAATTCTCTCTTCACTTTGTTTCTTACATCTGCCCATTTTCTGTTCTATAATCCCTGTTGGTGGTGTAACTGCAGGTATCAAAAAACCTGCAGGTATAAGAAAAAATGTCAAGTTTATGATTCCACAGCAATTTCATCAGTTGAGGACCCTTCTTTAGTTTTTAAATTTTGAACTACATAGAGCATGTGGCCTTCCTCATTCAAACCCTGTCTGGTCTGTGACAGCCAGTAGCGCAGGTGTCTGAGAAAGCGTCTTCTACCACCCCTGCTCCCGCTACATGGATATTGCAAATGCTGCCTCTCTTACTCTGTGTTGGGTAGGACCACGAGCTGGATCATTCCCTTGTCTCCAACAGCTCTGAGAATCCTTATGACCATACTTCTGGCAACAGGCACTTGGGAGACAAAAGGTGTTTTCCTGTCCTGATGAAGCAACTGGCTCCTCCTCCTCCCTTTCTTGTCCCTAAACTGAGTCTTGGTGTCTGTATTAAGGTGGCTATTCAGAAGCGACAGAATTCACCTGGGAGATGGGGTGGACTTTGGTGTTTGCCAGACTCTGCTTCCTCAGGACTAGCTTAAGACTCCACACTCTCTAACCATAAGACTTATTGGCATCTCGCTCCCCTGATAAAAGCCTCTGTGTTCTGTGGTCCCACGGCAATATGTGCATTTGAGTTCTTTTGCTTCACAGAAGTGCCTACAAACCTTGCTTACATACTGAACGCAGTATGCAAGTCGCTCCCTTGTCTGTTGAACGACTGGTGGTTTTCAGGCCAGACACTTTCTGCAGTGGTGGGTATGTGTAGAGGGATGTCAGTTCTTCAGCCTTTGCACCCCAAGGCTGTTCTTGTGACTGTATCTTGCTTTGTTTGGGGATCGCACAATTCTGATTTTCAGCTCAGGATCTTAATGTAGTAAGGAGCTAAAGTCCTAAATAGGAATTAAGAGTTTAAATATTTCCTGGATCTGATGTGACATATTTAAGGAGGCTGTAAAATTGCTCATGACTAGATCTTTCATTACCTATATAAAAGCATTGTAAAATTTTGTGGTTAGTTTATCATGCACACTAAATTTTCATATTTCTTGTTCCAGTATATTTATAGTCGAATGTTCTTGAAATTACTGTTTAAAGATGATTGTTAGTTAGGCAGGCTTAATGCTGTTTTGTTTTGGGTTTTTTTTTTGTACTTGATAACCACATGGTGTGAACATCAAGACTGCTTTCTCATTTAAATAGTAGGTAAGTACAAAGTTACAAACATACCTTCTTTCAAGAAATAAATGATAAGTTGTTTCTAGATATTTTGAGGGAAATGATGAGTATTTCCTGGTGGGTGATTTATTTATTTTTTTAAAAGATAACTTCCATCCTCTCCCGAAATGACTAGAACATATCAATGACTGAACATTTTTAAAGCATTTTGTATTATTTGTTGGACAGGAAATATGTTGGACAGGAAATATACTGCTATTGGGGACTTACTATAACAGGGTTTTCTGGAAGCTCATCATGGGACAGGAGTTTGATATCTCAGTGAGTAGGAACCTAAGTATTAATTCAACATTGTCTCCTACTGGTAGGAGTGTTTCATTGTATGTGCTACCTTTTCTATTTGGGGACAGTTTGATTCCTATGGATATTTCTGTATTATTCTTTTCTTCCCTTCTTCTTCTCTTTCCTTCTCCTTTCTTTCACCTCTGCTGTTTTTTTTCCTTCAACAAGAGAATCAGCAAACATACATATGCTTTTTTGCACGTAGTTCTTGCTTTGCTTCTTTTGACTCCTCGCACTACATCCTCATGAGCAATTTTCGTATTGCCCCATAGGGTTAAAAATAGGAACAAAATATCCACATAGTGAAACTCACGGTAGATGGATTCTGTAGAAGGGCTTATTTTCCTTAAACAGCACCAAAAACAACTTTCAATTTTTTTCTCCTAGAATGTCTTTTGCTCAAAACCCTAGGGAGTGAAGGCATGAAAGATTGATGCCTGTTTTTGTTAGTCAGACCATGGGAAGCGTGCTTTCCTGCTTTGCTTGCTTTCCAAGTTTGGGTATGCAGGGCATTTGGGAACAGTGTTAATATATAAAGTGCTAGGCTGGCCTTACAAGCCCTGCTTTTCCTACTCCCTGGCCCTTTCATTGTGAGTTGGTACCAATCCTGTCAATTTTGAGTATGTCTGAATGTTATAGGCATGAAACTCAACAATAAATAAATAAGCCGTGTTTCCAGTTTTGATCTCAGTAGTAGTACCCTCGTTGGATGATCTGGTATATATATATCTGGTATATTTTCAGACTGAAGTAATGGTCAGAATTCCATTTGAAATTATATATTTAACGAAGTCTGTATAAACTTTTTTGTGAGTGTTTCATTAGTGTACGGAATACTGTAGATTGCTGCCTAGTGATGTTTTCCGTGTTAAAATATAACATATATATAACATTTATATAATAATATAACATTTATTTCCCATCAGGCCAAACCACCTATAAAATCTTTGTATTCATTTAAGAATACAAACACAGAGGAGTATGATGTTACTTTGGATCCCTGTGGAAAATATGAACGGTATATAAATGTTTTTTAAGAGTGAGAGGAGAAGCAGTTTGTGGCTGTGCCCCAGTAAGCAGGGCACAGCCAGGAGTTGGTCAGATGGGGTTCTAGCCTTGCCTCGTGGCACTGAGGTGTTTATGCGTGTTGGTCTTCCACTTCACTGCTCTAATGTCTCTTGCTTGTTTTGACTGTGATCTTCTGGCTTAGGTAGCATGTAGCACAGGGGGAGTCTTGTCACCTAGTGCTGAGTTTATGCCCACAGGCACTGACTTAAATGTATCTAATGTGTGAAATAGGATGAAAGAGATTCTACAATGGTGTAAGAAAATAATTTAATAGTGTGAATGCAAATTGCATACCTTCTGTAATGTAGTTTGTGTGTCTTTGAAGAAGATGGTATGAGACATAGGTGGTGACTAGAGAAATTTTTGATTCTGAATGTTTTTTTTGTTAAACAATAAACAGTTCAAGTGTAATGTTCTGTTCAACTTTGACTCTGTTAGAATTCCTTACCTGACCTGGGGAGAAAGAGTACAAGTAAAGGACAAGATTTTATTTGATGCATTTATAGTAACAGACCTTCAGTGTCCTTTAAAAGCAGTCTGAGTTCTTGAGAATAGAAGTACGGAAAATGTTTGGGAGGCCAGAAATTTACATGCATTTCCTTGCCTGGGAATTCATGAGAGTATAGATGTCCACTTAAATTGTTTGTGTGATGTCCACTTAAATTATGTATGTAAAAACTTAAAACCATCAGGAATTTTAAACCCCAAATTGCTGGTCATATTACTATGAGCATAAAACATCTTGTTCACAAATAGACACTACCTTCTGAAAGTTTTGACTTTAATTTAAAAAATGTCACCTTCTTCCACAGCTAAATTCTAGTCACGGGAAGCTCTTGGGGAGCAAGCATACTTGTGTATTACATGATTTTTTGCATGAAAGCAAAAGGAGAAAGGATATACAACACTTTCTATAAGCATGTATTTAAGTCTTTCACATTTGTTTTTCAGGAAAACGAGATGTCTCTGCTGAAACTCTTCTGGATCAGGAATGTATAAATCCTATGAGTTATTCAAGCCAGCTAGAAGACTCTGGGTGTGATGTGTCCAATGACTATGCATTCGATTCTTTAGGCATAGCTTCTGATTTTCACCAGTCTGAGCATGTCGACACTTCTAAACGTTGGTTGGAAAGAATTCCCCCATTGAATCTTTGCTGTACTAGCAAGGAGGAATCTCTGACTGCTCCAGTGCAGTTTTTGCAACATCTGCTTGAAATAAGAAAACTGTCAGAAGGAGGAATTCTTCAAGCAGACTTCACAGAGCTTGAGAATGACTCTTTCACAATATGCAATTCAGTGTCCCAGTTGCTTGATGGACTGACTGTTTTTTACAACAGTCCTAAATTTCCAGTTTCTAATTTTCTTACTGAAGCGGTTTGCGTTTTGATCAGTTTAATAACTGATACTAAATTATCTAATCATGTTTTGAAGAAGTGTTTCAAGAAGCTGGAAGAATTTAAGAAAAATCTAATTCAGATTATTTTAAAAAGCAGTGATGTCAATAGGGTAAGTGTAAAACATCTTCCATCTTTCCTACACCATTTCAGCATTCTGTAATATTCTCCTGGTTTTATGCACTTTTTAAATATTAACTTGTCTTATTATATTTTGATGAGTACTTCTCAGATTTTTTTAATTGTTCTTTTTTGTGATATGGACAATAAATGCTCTAAAGCATTTGAAAAAGGTTCTTGCTTATGCATGCAAGTTCTTCTAGTCTATTCCTGAGTACAGGACTTTTAAAAATTGTTAAAAAGGCAGATTAAAACAACTTTATAGAAAATATGAGAGTTTCTCTTGCTATATATAGATACAGTGTAGATATTCACAAAGTAACGACTATACAATTTTTTCTTTCTTGTGCACCTAGATTAATCAGTTGGTTTGCTTCAGAAGATATCTGTCACTCTCTAGACATTTGCAAATTTGTGTTTTAAAAATAAAGCAGCAAATGAGTGAAGAATTTAGAAATGATATGTTCCCAGCACAAACAGCAAATAGGACTGAGCTGCATTTTGTCTATATTCATCATGTTGCATTGTTCCATGCATCATCTTGTTAGTTTCCTCATTCAACTGAAATATCCCTAGTTTGTCTTCACAGGACTTCCCATAAGTAATGAATTCCATTGTCTGTCTTAGGATTTTTGGTTTTCCTTGTGTCTTTTAGAGTAACTTGGAACAGGCATGATGGTGGAATTGTTTGAGACTTAGACATACCAATTTAGTGTCCACATGTATGTAACTACTCTATTATTATAGTAAATTAAGATCGTATCCCTTTAATCCATGGAGCCTAAAGAATGCTGACCAAGTACTAGGTCCCTATTTTAGGATGAGCTCTAGAGTTGCCTTTAGCAAAATGAGAGCCTAGACATCTGCTACACCTGTGGACAAATGTACCCATTTGTCTTAATTTAAAATGAATCCCACTCACTGTGTGTTAAGTATTTACTCCAGAATGTAGATATGAAACAAATACAATTACCAAACTAAGCGGAGGGGGACAGGGGGCGGGTATGCCTGTATTTTGGTTAGATGTAGGAAAACAAAAGCATTCAGAAGGCAATTTTCATATACTGAAGATTTTCCAGGACTAGAGCCTTGTGCCTCTAATACCAGGGTGATTTGATTTTAGTGTCGCCATGGTGTGATACTTCGTTTTTAATTAGAGGTGTCCCTGGCCAGTGTTTTGAAAGGATGTGAGCATACATACCATTTGTGTGGTATTAGGAATAGAGTGTCATGCAGGTGTGACTCCTTTTATTTTTTGTGTGATTACAGGATACAGAACAAAGAAAACTTGAGTAGGCACTCAGTAAGGACTTCTTCATAGTTGATGACGTCCAGTGTTTCCACCTGTTCCCATCCTCTACCCAAATGGGAAGTTAATAAATAATTAAAATAAACTTAATTGTAGGAGCACAACAAAGAGGTTATCCAGAGAGGGATCACTTGGTGATTGGAGGAACCTGGGGAGAGGACAGAAAGAAAAGCAAAGCTTCAGTGAGAGGTGTCACATCTTAAATGAGAAAAAATATCCTCATAGATCAGGGATGTTTCAAGTCTGCAAAGTGCTTTTAGAAATCATTAAGGAAGGGTGGAATATGTCCACATAATTTGGAAGTGGCATCTTTTCTCTGAAAAACTTCACTGAAACAGATGGTTTTTTATGAGATGTTTTATATCTTGCTTCCACCAAAATATTGACTTAACAGTCATTCCTATTGGCAGCCATTACTTCAATCAAACAGTTTCAGAGAGTTTAAAAATTGTATAAACCAATTATTAAGGAATAATCATCATAGTTTCCAGATTTCTAGGAAAAAAAGGGGAAATCTTGTGTGTAGTAATTGCAGTGTTTATAAAGATTTATTGAAAAGTTCTTTTTAGAGGTTTGGCTTTCTTTAAACTGAATTGAATATGGAAATAAATATGTAGAATTCAGAATTAGTAGTGGAAATTGTATAACTAATTCTTCATGTGCTGTGTACCAGAATATCTCCCAGGGACACTTAATGCTTCGGTTTTAATCAATCATCACTGTTTACTCAAGTGGTGATTGAAATATCAAGATTATAGGTTTAAAATAAAATTATCATTAATTACAAAGCTGTCATCTGAAAGAGTGGCAAACTGTATGAAATTTGGTTCCAGGAGCATGCTTAAATGCCTGCCGTATAAAAACATGAGGAATTTTGTTGTATCTAACGTTACTAACTGTCAAAAAGCATTTGTACAGAGAGCCACGATTGTAGCTATAGTATTTGACACAACTTTCCCTTTGCCATCCTCACCTATAAAACTGTCAGGAACTGTCAAGGAGGACAAAGGACTGTGAGAAACATCTTCAAAAAGTGAACAAAGAGAGAAATGGCTGTGGATTACACTTAATGCCTCATCTGCAAAAGCAATTCCAGCGTTTTGCAGAGCAAATTAAATAACTTAAAAAACCTTTGAGACTTGGAAAAGAGATAATTATCTCTACATTAGATGTAAAGGAAGAAAAACAGCAGCAGAATTACTTGCTGTAACTGTTGAGTCCCATTGTTTGAGATGTTTCTAATTATAAAGCACTGGAAGCTGTAGGAACCAGCAAAGACATGTACTCAGAGTTTTTCCGCCTGGATTCAGTTGCCTAAAGCTGTGCACTTTGGATAGAATTTTTTTTGACGTGAAACTCCAAATTGACATAAGTATCAAAAGGAAAAAAAAAACAACTGTCATTTAAGATGAGAGGTAAAATAAAAGCAAATATTACTTAAAAACATTTAAATCAAAGAACTACAAATAAAAGTAGCCTGTTGAATTTCCCTTTTTAATTTTTCTCCTCTCCCTCCATGTTTGGAGAGCAGCTCAGAAGTCTGCATACAGCTGTCAGACACACAATCTTTTGGAAGAAGCCTTCTGGAAATATCTAGGAGGAGTCTTAAGTCACGGCAGCTAAGGGTGAAGCATGAATGCTCTGAGGTTAAATCATCCACTCAAAGGCCCGCCTCTGCACTTTCTGCTGGTGTAGTCTTGCATCCCTGTATGGATGCTACAGAAAAGTTTGTGAAAATCCTGTGTCTAATACTGGTATGGATGAGCTGTTGCTCGCATGTTGCAAAATCCGCAATAGTCGCTGCTGATCTGTGGAGCAAGTGCTTTGCTTGTCACCAAATTTGAATCCTCAACACAGACTCTTCGAGGTTCATATGGGTGTATTGGTTTTGGTGCATTGCCTTTTGATGTTCAAATTTTTCATTCACATTGAGTCACTCTACTGGCAGCAGAACCACTGTCCTGTTTATGCAGGTTCTTTGCAAGTCCTGCTTTGTCCTTTCTCTTGCCTAGAAAGGTTGGACCAGATGATCCCTGAGGTCCCTTCCAACCTGGTATTCTATGATTCTGTGATTCTATGAAATGCTGTCGCATTATAAGAAAACTTTGCGAGACTGGATTCGGTTTGTGGAGCAACTGGCTCTACTTTTCAAATGGACTGTTCTGTACTACCTGACAAAACATGGGAAAACATTTCTCATCGAAAACTTCTGTAGGAGCTACAGTATGTAATTACAGCTCCAGTGGAGTAGAAACTTTGTCTCTTCCCCTTCAGAAAGGAAGCACAGGAACACTTTTTTCCTTAATCTACCCATTTGGGATTTGACCACAGCTATCTCCATCCACCTCCACAGAGCCATAGTAAACGTGCATCTCTCCTGCTCCTAGGTGTACCACTTGCTCACTGGCACTGAGATGTGCCTGTTCTGTTGAGGTTTGTCTCTGTTGTCCAGGATGTGTTGGAACAAGGGATCATTTCTCCTATTTCAGAAAAATGCAACAGCCAGAAGCACTGGGGATTCCCAGCTCCCCTTGCTGTTCCGAATAACATATGTGTTTCATGTTTCTGGTGAAGGTTTTGCACAGCTCATTGCAGTAGGACACTTCAGGGAGGACACTACATTCCTTTTACATGGGCAGCGTCTGGAGCTTGCCTGGAAACCTGCTGTGGTGAACTTCAGCTAGCTGTAGCTTCACAGTATATGGAATTAGCTTTAGACGTCAAATCCCTGTAACAGAAGTTAAGATACTTCATACATGTCATATTTATATCCCTCATATATACAGCCATGCAAAACTTCAAAAAAATTGTAAAGGAATTCAGAGTCTCATTTGTTACTTTGGAGACAGAAGAAAAATACTTTTACATCTGACTTCTTTCAGTGCAGTTCAGTCATCATAGCCAAATACAGTCACAGGGTGCTGTATTACATAGGATTTATGTGATGTGATCCCTAGTGGTGTCACACAAGTTTATCAGCATTGTTGACAGAAGTTCAGTTCACTGGTTGTACTGCTTTTAGGTGCAGCTGATACTGTGATTTGGAGCATGGCTAATGCAGAAGTTATGCGCCAGAAGATCCTGGCCTTGACCCTGTACCGAGAACTGTCTGTTTCTTGGTCCTCTTGTTTTAAGGGGTTAGTCAAAACACTAAAATAGAAGACAATGGTACATTGCCTTCAGGGTTCTAGAGTAAAGTCAAGCTGTGTAGGGCTCTCAGAAGAGACTGCTTCCTGATGTCCGATTCCTGTTCAACAAATACCTCATCCATCTGCCTCACCTCATCATCTCTTTCAAACAAGACCCAGAAGGAAAAGAGCTGTGTTTCAGTGAACTGTGGTTGGTTGCTTCTTTTCATGCTATGTTTAAAACATCAATACGGACTTCGAAGATGCCGTCAAGAGTCATGAATTGCCTGCTCTGTTCAAACAAAGCAAAAAAAAAAAGTTATGTGCTATTTCCTTCCTTTTTTTTTAACCCTTGTCCTCTTTGGAAATTGGCTACTCTACCTTTAGGGTAGCTGTTTTGAAGTTGTTTTGTGTTAAGAGTATCTGAATGGATACTGAGACATGACCATAGTCTCTAGGAACTTTTCTTATCCTGTTTGGGACTGTACTGCCTGTTTTCTCTCTCTTCTTATGTTCCGTCTAAAAGTCTTTACATAGTCTTTGCAAATGCTCAAA